CACCTCAGCCTCCCAAGTAGCTGGAACTACGGGCATGCACCACCATGCGGGACTAATTTTTTCGATGTTTTTATAGAGATGGGGTCTCATTTTGTTGCCCAGGCTGGTTTTGAACTCCTGGGCTCAAGTGATCTTTCCTGTTGGCCTCCCAAAGTGTTGGGATTATAGGCGTGAGCCACCGTGCTTGGCTTAGAGGATCTGTTTTCAAGATGACTTATTCATAGAGCTCTTGGCAGGAGGCCTCAGTTCCTTGTCAACTATGTGTCTACCCAGGGCTTGGTCACTCTCTTTTTTTTAAATTTACCCTACTTTTCAAGCTAACCTCCACCTCCCAGGTTCAAGTTATACTCAGGCCTCTTTGAGTATCCTCATGGTGTGCAGTTATCTCCTCCAGAAATGATCTAAGACAAAGCAAGGAAGAAACTGTGTTGCCTCTTATGACCTAGTCGTACACTATCACTTCTGCCCTATTTTTTTCATTAGAATGAGCCACTAAGTCTAGCCTATACTCAGAGAGAGGAGGATTTCACTTTTTAGAGGGAAGAATGTAAGAAAATTTGATGTAGTTTAAAACCACCAAAATTTTCACTCCCCATTGGTGTGCTTTGCTAGTTTTGTCAAAAAACAATCGACTGTTATATCCTGATTGGTCTCTTGCAAACAAAAACAAAAACAATTGACTCTGAAGATATCGGCCTTCTGAATCTGTGTTCTGTTCCATTGATCTGTTTGTTTATCTATATGCCAGCACCCCACTACTGTAGCTTTATAGCAAATCTTGATATCAGGCAATGTAAATAATCCACTTTATTAAGATTTATTTGCATATTCTAATTTCTTTTTATTACTATATACATTTTAGAGTTAGCTTGTCAATTTCTGTAAAAAATTCTGCTGGCATTATTGTTGCAATTCCATTGAATTTATAGATTCATTTGGTGATAATTGACATCTTAACTATATTGAGTCTTCTAATCCATGTGCTATATGTGGCATATTTCTTGATTTATGCCTTCTTTACTGTCTGCCCGTATAGACCTTCCAAAGTGAGGAGTTTTTTTTTTTTTTTTTTTTTTGAGACGGAGTTTCACTCTTGTTACCCAGGCTGGAGTGCAATGGCGCGATCTCGGCTCATCGCAACCTCCGCCTCCTGGGTTCAGGCAATTCTCCTGCCTCAGCCTCCTGAGTAGCTGGGATTACAGGCACGCGCCACCATGCCCAGCTAATGTTTTGTATTTTTAGCAGAGACGGGGTTTCACCATGTTGACCAGGATGGTCTCGATCTCTTGACCTCATGATCCACCCGCCTCAGCCTCCCACAGTGCTGGGATTACAGGCTTGAACCACCGCGCCCGGCCTTCTTTACTATCTTGCTACATTATATGATTGTTTTCAGTGTAGAGTTCTTTTATGTTTTGTTAAATTTGACCCAAGACATTGGATTTTTTTGATGCTGTTGTAAATGAAATTTTTTTTTCTTTCTTTCTTTTTTTTTTTTTTTAAAGATGGGGTTTCACCATGATGGCCAGGCTGGTCTTGAACTCCTGACCTCAGGTGATCCACCCACCTTGGCCTCCCAAAGTGCTAGGATTACAGGCATGAGCCGCTGCGCCCTGCCGTAAATGAAAATTTTAAATTGTAGTAAATACACTTAAGAAAATTTAGCATTGTAACCTTCAAATTTAGCATTTGAAGTGTATGATGCAGTGGCATTAAATATATTCACAGTGCTGTTTTGAGAACTTTTTTCATCACCTCAAATAGATACTCTACCAGTTATATAGTAGCACCCCATTCTCACCTCCCCCAGCCACTTGTACAAACTTTTTTTTGAGACAGAGTCTCACTCTGTTGCCCAGGCTGGAGTATAGTGGTGTGATCTTGGCTCACTGCAGCCTCCAGCTCCTGCGTTCAAGTGATTCTTCTGCCTCACCCTCCCCAGTAACTGGGATTACAGGTGTGTACCACCATGCCAGGCTAATTTTTGTATTTTTAGTAGAGATGGAGTTTCACCATGTTGGCCAGGCTGTTCTTGAACTCCTGACCTTGGGATCTACTTACCTCAGCCCCCCAAAGTGCTGGGATTACAGGCGTGAGCCACTGCGCCTGGCATTGTACACTCTTAAAAATCTTCTTTTTGTCTCAGTAAATTTGCCTATTTTATTTTATTTTATTTTTGAGATGGAGTCTTGCTCTGTTGCTCCAGCTGGAGTGCAGTGGCGTGATCTTGGCTAACTGTATTCTCTGCCTCACAGGTTCAAGCAATTCTTCTGCCTCAGCTTCCCAAGTAGCTGGGACTACAGGTGCACCCCACCATGCCCAGCTAATTTTTTGTATTTTTAGTAGAGACGGGATTTCACAGTGTTAGCCAAGATGGTCTTGATCTCCAGACCTCGTGATCTGCCCGCCTCGGCCTACCAAAGTTCTGGGATTTCAGGCGTGGGTTTATTTTATTTTTGAGACCGAGTCTCACTCTGTCATCCAGGCTGCACTGTAGTGGCCTGATCTTGGCCCACTGCAACCTCCACCTCCCAGGTTCAAGCAGTTCTCCTGCCTCAGCCTCCCAGGTAACTGGGATTACAGGTGCCCTCCACCATACCCAGCTAATTTTTGTATTTTTAGTAGAGAAGGGGTTTCACCATGTTGGCCAGGCTGATCTTGAACTCCTGACCTCAGGTGGTCTGCCTGCCTCAGCCTCCCAAAATGCTGGAATTATAGGCTTGAGCCAACGCATCCAGCTGTATTTTATTTTATGTAAGTGGAGTTATACAATTTTTTTCCCTTTTGTGCCTGGCTTATTTCACTTAGCAAAATGTTTTCAGGATTCATCCATGTTGTGACATGCATCAGGAATTTTGTTCCTTTTTTAAAAAGGCTGAATAATATTTCACTGTATGTATATACCACATGTCTTCATCCATTTATTTGTTGATGGACATGGGTCGTAGGCACCATTTGGTTATTGTGAATAATGCTGTGAACATTGGTATATGAATATCTGTTTTGGATTCCTCCTTTCAGTTCTTTTGGGTATAGACCTAAAAGTGGAATTGTTGAATCATATGGTAATTCTATGTTTAGCTTTTTGAGGAGTTGCCATACTGTCTGCTTTACATTCTCACCAGCAGTGCACAAGTGTTACAATTTTTTCATATCCTTGCCAACACTTATTTTCTATTTTTTGTGTTTTTTTATAACATGGGTGTGAAGTGGTTTCTCATTGTGACTTTGATTTGCATTTCCGTAATGACTAATGATGTTGAGCATCTTTTTTGCATATTTTTTGGCCATTTGTGAATCTTTAGAGAAATGTCTAAGGCCCTTGCCCATTTTTGAATTGGGATTTTTTTTTGTTGTTATACAGGTAGTTCATATGTTCTGTATATTAATCCTTTATCAGATACATGATCTGCAAATATTTTCTGCCATTCTGTGGGTGGTGTTTTTACTGTTTTTAAATTAATTAATCAGCATTTTAGAGTAGAGATGGGATCTCAGTTTTATTGCCCAGGCTGGTTTCAACAGCTTAAGCAATCCTCCTGCCTTGGCTTCCCAAAATAGTGGGATTACAGGCCCTTGTGATTTTTTTTTTTTTTTTTTTTTTTGAGACAGAGTCTTACTCTTGTTGCCCAGGCTGGAGTGCAATGGCATGATCTCTGCTCGCTGCAACGTCCGACTCCCAGGTTCAAGTGATCCTCCTGCCTCAGCTTCCCCAGCCGCTGAGATTACAGGTGCCTGCCACCACTCCCAGCTAATTTTTGTAATTTTAGTAGAGATGGGGTTTTGCCATGTCAGCCAGGCTGGTGTCAAACTCCTCACCTCATGATCCACCTGCCTCGGCCTCCCAAAGTGCTGGGATTACAGGCACAAGCCACCACGCCCAGCCTGGAATACTTTTTAGACTTTAACACTTTAGCATTGCTTTAGCTGCATCAGTACAGCATATATTTGAAAGTGTTTTTTCATATACTACTTCACTCTGAGAAGTAGATAAGTAATCTCAAATCTACTGACAGGGAAAACAGGTGAATTGGCATATTGAAGGGTTACATAATTTGTTAGTTGTGGCATTGATTTTTTTTTTTTCCACATGGTTTCTGACTTCCCAGAATCCTGACAGCTCTACAAGTTCAGGCTGTTCAGTTCCTGATGTCACATGAGAGTCAGGAAAGGAAGTTGAGGGTGTAGAGAAGTTTGGAAACTGCTCTTAAGGAATGATGTATCTGTGAAACCACCTATCCGCTTTTCTTTTCTTTTTTTTTTTTTTTTTTTTTTTTGGGAGGGAGGGGTTCCCCCTTGTTCCCCCGGGAGGGGAGTGGTGTGATCTTGGCTAACTGCAACCTCTACCTCCCAGGTTCAAGTGATTCTTCTGTCTTAGCCTCCTGAATAGCAGGGATTACAGGCACCTGCCACTATTCCCAGCTAATTTCTGTGTTTTTGGTAAAGATGGGGTTTTACCATTTTGGCCATGCTGGTAACTTCTGGCTTCAGATTATCCGCCCACCTCAGTCTCCCAAAATACTGGAGTTCTAGGTGTGAGCCACTGCGCCTGGCCTCCACCTCTCTGTTTTTCTAAGTTGAGTAGTTGTTGATGGGTTTGTGTAGGTGAAAGTTAGTCCCCATATCATTACAGGTTGTCTATGAGGTAGACAGAAGTGCTTTTCTTTGTTTGTTTGTTTTGAGGTGGAGTCTTGCTCTGTCACCCAGGCTGAAGTGTAGTGGCGTGATCTTGGCTCACTGCAGCTTCCACATCCTGGGTTGAAGCAATTCTCCTGCCTCAGCCTCCCAAGTAGCTGGGATTACAGGTGCCTGCCACCATGCCTGGCTAATTTTTGTATTTTTAGTAGAGACAGGGTTTCACCATGTTGGCCAGGCTGGTCTCGAACTCCTGACCTCATATTCCGCCTGCCTCAGTTACAAGTGTGAGCCACCACGCCCGGCAGACAGAAGCGCTTTTCTAATATTTAAAGTGCTTAAAAGTAGTAATTAGGGGCAGTGGCAGCCGTGGAGTGGCGTGCATGTGCAGCAGCTCCCCCTGCTGAAGGGCTGAGAGGCGCACTGGGGCCGCCAGCTGGGCTAGGAGCGGAGTGGGGTCAGGATGGACGAGGACGTGCTGACCACTCTGAAAATCCTCATCATCGGCGAGAGTGGGGTGGGCAAGTCCAGCCTGCTCTTGAGGTTCACAGATGATACGTTTGATCCAGAACTTGCAGCAACAATAGGTGTTGACTTTAAGGTGAAAACAATTTCAGTGGATGGAAATAAGGCTAAACTTGCAATATGGGATACTGCTGGTCAAGAGAGGTTTAGAGCATTAACTCCCAGCTATTACAGAGGTGCACAGGGTGTTATATTAGTTTATGATGTCACAAGAAGAGACACATTTGTTAAACTGGATAATTGGTTAAATGAATTGGAAACATACTGTACAAGAAATGACATAGTAAACATGCTAGTTGGAAATAAAATTGATAAGGAAAATCGTGAAGTAGATAGAAATGAAGGCCTGAAATTTGCACGAAAGCATTCCATGTTGTTTATAGAGGCAAGTGCAAAAACCTGTGATAGTGTACAATGTGCCTTTGAAGAACTTGTTGAAAAGATCATTCAGACCCCTGGACTGTGGGAGAGTGAGAACCAGAATAAAGGAGTCAAACTGTCACACAGGGAAGAAGGCCAAGGAGGAGGAGCCTGGGGTGGTTATTGTTCTGTGTTACAAACTCTGGGAAATTCCATCTCTTGCATATTTGATCAGATAGTTACATCTTTCTGTATATAAACTCTTTAACTGCTATTTTAGGGACCTTGCAGTTTACACATAGTTATTTTATATTATAGCAGTAAATATTTGCAAGAAATCCCACTCATCGGCCCCAGGTAAAATGTTATGGTAAGCATGCACAGTTTGCAGTCTGCGGTTTTTTATGTGGCACAAAATAGGTGTTCCTTTATAAGTACATTCAATTTTATGATTTACATTTATCATGTAATTAAAAAATCCATCTACTATATGTTGATACAAAGTCTGCTTTTGGTATTCTTTTTGCTTAAATACTCCTATTAATTTCTGATTACTTGGTACGTAGAACTCCTAGAACCACAGGGAAGAATAGAGGTATCATCAAACATGGCGAATTTTCTCTCAGGAATAATAAAGGGCATGATTCCACAGCTTTTCTAGGATGTTTGAGATTCTTTTTTAGTACTAAGCAAAATTTTCATTACAGAATGTAGCCCAGGCCAATTTATAACTAAATCTCTATTTGTTCGGATGATGCTCCTAAACAGCACTGATAGCTTAAAGAAACTTGGTTTTTTTTTTTTTTTTTTTTTTTTTTGAGACAGAGTTTCGCTCTTGTTACCCAGGCTGGAGTGCAATGGCGCAATCTCGGCTCACTGCAACCTCCGCCTCCCGGGTTCAGGCAATTCTCCTGCCCCAGCCTCCTGAGTCGCTGGGATTACAGGCACGCGCCACCATGCCCAGCTAATTTTTTGTATTTTTAGTAGAGACGGGGTTTCACCATGTTGACCAGGATGGTCTTGATCTCATGACCTCGTGATCCACCCGCCTCGGCCTCCCAAAATGCTGGGATTACAGGCTTGAGCCACCGCGCCCAACCAGAAACTTGGTATTTTTAATTTACTTCAATGATTAGCTCAGTTGCTTAACTGGAATTTTAATCCTGTCATATGTATATTGGATTCATGACTCAATTTTTAGTTATATGGTGTTTGGCAGAATAGCAATAAGGTTTTCGCCCGTTTTGGTTTCAGGAGGACATTAATAGTGTGTTTATTGTAACTCGTAGTACTAACCACTTTTAAAACCAACCTTTTTTTTTTTTCCCCGTAAATGTTGGTAGTGTTTGTCCAGGTACCTCAATTGTAGCTTGTGTAATGTTGATGAATATCTGTATCTTATGGCTTCCATAATGTCTGGTTGGTATTCTAAAACCTATTTCTGTGTTTTGAGGGGTGGGGGAAAAAAAGGCATATTGCTTCTAGGTTCTGATGTGTGAGGGAAAATACTGTCACAATGAAAATCTTGACAATTTACTGTAACGAGTAACCAATAGTTTATCAAAACCAATTGGTACAGATTAATAAATCTTTTTCACAGTATTCAGTTTTCTCACCTCTTGCTATTGTATATTGTATATTTTCTCACTCATTTGTTATTTTTTTTTTTTTTTTGAGATGGAGTTTCGCTCTTGTTACCCAGGCTGGAGTGCAATGGCGCGATCTCGGCTCACCGCAACCTCCGCCTCCCGGGTTCAGGCAATTCTCCTGCCTCAGCCTCCTGAGTAGCTGGGATTACAGGCACGCACCACCATGCCCAGCTAATTTTTTGTATTTTTAGTAGAGACGGGGTTTCACCATGTTGACCAGGATGGTCTCGATCTCTTGACCTCGTGATCCACCCGCCTCGGCCTCCCAAAGTGCTGGGATTACAGGCTTGAGCCACCGCGCCCGGCCTCATTTGTTATTTAATTTACATTGATCTCCGCTATTTTAACTCCCCAAATAAGTTATTTGTCCTTTAAGATTGGTTGCTATAATACTTAATTTCTGGGCAGTTTGTTCTCTGTATACAATTGCAAATGATAAGCGTTTTTGTGAGTGACAAAAAAAAAAATAATAATTAGACTGGGCATGGTGGCTCAGGCTTACAACATCAGCACTTAGGGAGGCTGAAGTAGGAGGATCGCCTGATGCTGGGAGATGGAGTCCAGAGTGGGCAATAAAGGGAGACCTCATCTGTACAAAAAAAGAACAGGAAAATAGCTGGGTGTGGTAGGACATGCCTGTTGTCCCAGCTACTCAGAAGACTGAGGTGTGGAAGGATTGCTTGAGCCCAAGAATTCAAGGCTGTAGTAAGCCATGATCCTGCCACTGCATTCCATTGTGGGTGACAGATTGAGACCCTCTCTCAAAAGAAGGAAAGAAAAAGTAATGATTCTGGTATTTCACTAGAGGGTTGGAAGGCAGCTGGAATCTAATCTGCTTGATGCAGTCAACCCTGATTTCATTTTGTGAGGCATTATGCTGGTTGTTCATCTCTTCTGTTATGGGCTTTCTTCACATATTTACTTCACATAGTCTAATGTGCATGTTGCTGATCTGCTTCTGGGTGCCCTTCAATAAAATCTTTTTTTTTTTTTTTGCTATTTAGTCTAAGACTCTAATAAAATCTTTATCTACATGATGAATGTTCAAATAGATAGTCATTATGTTGCCTCCAGGATTGTGTGGTGTCTGAAAGAGGGAGTTCCTGTGCAGTTTGTGCCCTGAAATCTCCTTATGCTGTTTTCTAAATGTCTAACTATATAAGAAATATGCTGTGTGACTCTTGAGATGGAGAGGTCCAATAGGAAAATAGGATGCCAGGAACAGGGTCCTTGCAGAAGAGAACTGGAGCTGGTCCCCGACCATATGTGAGGTAACAGCAGATTATCTCAAAAGAATAAAACTCAGCCGGGCGCGGTGACTCAAGCCTGTAATCCCAGCACTGTGGGAGGCCGAGGCGGGTGGATCACGAGGTCAAGAGATCGAGGCCATCCTGGTCAACATGGTGAAACCCCGTCTCTACTAAAAATACAAAAAACATTAGCTGGGCATGGTGGCGCGTGCCTGTAATCCCAGCTACTCAGGAGGTTGAGGCAGGAGAATTGCCTGAACCCAGGAGGCGGAGGTTGCGGTGAGCCAAGATCGCGCCATTGCACTCCAGCCTGGGTAACAAGAGCGAAACTCCGTCTCAAAAAAAAAAAAAAAAAAAAAGAATAAAACTCATTGGAGCTGTATTTTGTGGTAGACATTTTGCCTTATTCCTTGACTGCAGCTGAATACATCTCAGTGTCTGTGCCTGAAGAGTCTGATCTTTGATTATATTTTCAGGTGATATTCAGAGTAGTATAGCATCAAGACATTTAAATGATTTCATCCCCAAAGGAAGAGTCCTCCAGATTTTAGCCATATCTGATTTTTAGATGTATATTGCCTCTTGGTGCCTCTCAGAATTCAGTGATTTAAAACTCCTTTGGGGCCGGGTGTGGTGGCTCATGCCTATAATCCCAGCACTTTGGGAGGCTGAGGCGGGTGGATCACCAGGTCAAGAGATCGAGACCATCCTGGTCAACATGGTGAAACCCCGTCTCTAATAAAAATGCAAAAATTAGCTGGGCATGGTGGTGCACGCCTTTAGTCCTAGCTACTCGGGATGCTGAGGTATGAGAATTGCTTGAACCCAGGAGGCGGAGGTTGCGGTGAGCCGAAGTCGCGCCATTGCACTCCAGCCTGGGTAACAAGAGCAAAACTCCATCTCAAAAAAAAATAGCTAGGACTAAAGGCCCCTTTGGAGGTCTGACAGTTTTGTGGTGTCATTGAGATAGCATAGAAAGACAGGAGGTATTTCTTTAAAAAAAAAAACAAAAAACTGTTTATTTATCGAGAAACTATTTGTTAGCCCACATTTCATGTCTCGTAGTTCAGGAACACAGAGCTTTGGCTTCCCCTCTCCTTGGTGTAGGAAATTTTATTTCCATGTTTTCCCTCTGGAATAGTAGGATACATGTGAATATTGCTAATATAAGGTAGTAGATTTGTTAGTGACAAAACTAATAGGTAATTCAACCCAAAGAAACTTTTTTTTTTTTTTGAGATGGAGTCTCGTTCTGTCACCTAGGCTAGAGTGCAATAGCAAAATCTTGGCCCACTGCAACTTCTGCCTCCTGGGTTTAAGTGATTCTCCTGCCTCAGCCTCCTGAATAGCTGGGATTACAGGTGCCTCCCACCATGCCTGTCTAATTTTTGTATTTTTACTAAAGACAGGGTTTCACCATGTTGGCCAGGCTGGTCTCGAACTCCTGACCTCAGGTGATCTGCCTGCCTTGGCCTCCCAAATTGCTGGGATTATAGGCATGAGCCACCACACCTGGCCATGAAGTCATAATTTCTGTAGAAATCTGAGTATGCCTTCTTTCTTGGTTCATCCACAGCAAACTTACAGAGAGCTGTAGCCCCCAGGGATATAACGAATGCTCCAACAATATGAAACCACAGAGGTGCCATGGTAGTTAACTGTCTTTGATAGGTATGTCAGCCTCATCACCAGTGTTCTTGACTGATGGAGAAATGGATGGCTAGCAGCTATTTCATAGTTGCATAATTCCTTACTCTGGAGAGCTTTCTTGTTTTAAACTAGTAACCGTTTTTGATAGGGGGTCCTAAATAAAGCCTCCAGATAATCTAAAAAGGTCAATGCTGTGACCAGAGCTTTGGCTTCACCTCTTCTTGGTGCAGGAAATTTTATTTCCATGTTTTCCCTCTTGAATAGTAGGACACATGTGAATATTGCTAATATAAGATAGTAGATTTGTACCTAGGATGAACTCCCATATATAAAACCAGTGTTATAGATAATTGAAATTAGCATGAGTGACAAGAGTTACTATTATTTGTCTTCTGAAATTGAAAGAGCAGATTTTTAAATTTTTAATTTGATTTTTTTTTTTTTTTTTTTGAGACAGAGACTCACTTTGTTACCCAAGTTGGAGTGTAGTGGCACAACCTTGGCTCACTGCAGCCTCTGCTTCCAGGCTCAAGCAGTCCTCCTGTCTCAGTCCCCCAAGTAGCTGGATCTACAGGCATGAGCCACCAAGCCCAGCTAATTTTTGCTTTTTATTTTTATTTTTTTTGTAGAGACAGGGTTTTGCCATGTTCTCCAGGCTAGTCTCAAACTCCTGAGCTCAAGTGATCTGCACACCTTGGCCTCCCAAAGTTCTAGGATTACAGGCATGAGTGCCACCCTGCCTAGCAGAGAGAGCAGGTAACTGACACAAGAACATAAAACCAAACACTGCATGTTCTGATTCATAAGTGGGTGTTGAACAGTGAGAACACATGGACACAGGGAGGGAAACATCATACACTGGGGTCTCTTGGGGGTGGGGGACTAGGGGAGGGGTAGCGGGGGTGGGGATATTGGGGAGGAATAACAGGAGAAATACCTAATGTAGGTAATGAGGGGATGGAGGCAGCAAACCACTATGGCATGTGTATACCTATGTAATAATCTTTTTTTTTTTTTTTTTTTTGAGACGGAGTTTCGCTCATTACCCAGTCTGGAGTGCAATGGCGTGATCTTGGCTCACCACAACCTCCGCCTCCTGGGTTCAGGC